TTGATGATATCGATATAGGGGGTGGTCAGTGGCGGTTGTCGACAAAAATGCATGTAAAGTTGTAAATATATATATTGCAGATAGTGTAACCTATGTGTATCTTCATTTGTAGAACCACTGTTTTTTAAGAAAGCTATAAAAACGTGGTTCAAATAACCTCATTTTTACATCATTTGAGCTGTTATATCTTCTTCTATTACTTTTTCTTCAAGAATTCAGGACAAATAATCTAAATATGTTGTAAATCCGGTTCAAAGATTGCAATTATTGGACTTGGTCGTTCTGATCAAGACTTTTTCTCAACTTGAGGGTCTCTTTTGAGGGTCGATGCGGGTAGTGAGGGTCCCCTTGAGGGTCGCTGCGGGTAAGCGAGGGTCTATTTGAGGTTCATTGAGGTTCGTTTATTATGCTAGCCAATCAGATCTAGCTATGTGGAAACAAAAGATGATAGATCAATTCTAGCATATAGAACAGGGATGAACGGATGCCCCAAGAATCTTGCGTATCTTTTTCTACAAATTAAACAGTAAGTTCCTCACTCTCTTCTTCCTCAGTCATAGTACTATCTTCTAGTTACTAAATCTGTCATGTCGCAGCTCTCCGATGTCTACGCATCATCTAGCTTCGATGGGGTGCAATTAGACACGCTACAATACCTTGTTCCTAACGATTCCCTATCCCAACGCGAAAGCCAGAGTCAACTACTATCCGAAAGTCAGTTTGGATCAGTTCCAGACCTTCCAGACCTTCCAACCCATCGATCGCGCGTGGCACCTCAGGCCCCAGACACTCTTACACGAATCAAACCAGACCGTATCAACGAGTACGTTGTCTTTACAACTACAATGACCGCAGAATTTATTCAGTGGTGGCTTGAAACCGACTTTGGTAAGAAGAAGCGGATCAACTGGGATGTGAACCGTCGTGCAGAGTGCTGGAAAGGGTTTCAACAAGTTGCAAATACCAAAGATGGGAAGCCAGGCGTTATATGCAAACGGTGCCGTACAATTCTTGAGCACCCAACTACCAACCATACTGGAACCTCATCGATGCAGAAACATCTCGATGGGCTAAGGTGCCGACAGCGAATACCGAAGAAGGGTAATATCCAGCAACTACTTAGTGACGCGGTATATTTGAACCAGCCTATATTTAATATCAATACTAATACTATTTTCACTATTATTTAGGCTGAGAGAAGACCAGCGCCTACCTTTACCCAGCAAATATGGGAGCAGAAGATCCTAAACCTGATCACTGTATCGCATTTACCCTTCCTATTTGTCGAACATCAAGAATTCCACGACCTCCTTTCCTACGCACGGCTAGCACCCACACTACCAAGTGTTCCATCAAGAAAGGTGATTCGTGAGCGCCTTCAGGATTTTGTTATAGAACATCAACAGGAGACACTACAACGGCTTCCATCTAGTGCAAGAATGTCGATTGCGCTTGACTGTTGGACTTCTCCATTCCAGCAAGCATTCATAGCTATCACAGGATACTTCCTAGACCAGGAATGGGAGTATCGCGAGGTTCTCCTTGGGTTTGAGCCAATATCTGGATCTCATACTGGAGTGAACCTCGGTAGGGTTGTTCTCCAGATCCTAGAGAAGCACCAGATCGCTGACCGTATACTGGCGGTGACAACTGATAATGCGTCTAATAATAAGACACTTATCGCAGCGGTGAATGATTCGACTAAGACGCTACAGCAAGAGACAGATTCTACAATTGTCCAAGTGCCCTGCCTTGCGCATGTTATTCAATTGAGTCTAACTGATTTACTTGGTAAAATTAAGGCCGCCCCGAAGAATAACAACACCGAGACGGAATGGTCTGAAGATCGTGTACATTCACTTCGTGCACGCCAGCAGAAACATGAGATCGCCGATACTCTAAATAAGGTAAGCTTAAAGCTTCTATTTACGAATCATAATCCAATAACGATAATAATCCTTATAGGTTCGCGGCCTTGCAGTTTATATCAACGGAAGCCCTCAACGCAAAGAAGCCTTCTTGAATCTTCAATCTAATAATGCTGGGATAAGGCTTCTCCCAATCCAGGATGTCCGTACACGATGGAATTCGACATTTCTGATGCTTCGGCGGGCGAAAAGACTTCATGACATATTCGACAAGTACTGCAAGGACTACACCCAAACCCATTTTGCATTGAGTATTGAGGGGTGGCGGCAGATTGACTATCTACTTTGTATTCTCCAGCCCTTTTTTACGCTTACTACGCTAGTTTGTCGTACTAAAGACTCGAGTATCCACCTTATCTTTAGGATTTATAACAAGCTTTTTGATCATCTTGAAAGATCAATTCGTCAGCTTCGTCGAAAGAAAGTTCACTGGAAACAGCTGATGCTTTCCTCCCTTGAGGCTGCGAAGGAGAAACTGAAGAAATACTACGGCGAGACAGATGATATCGAAGGTAATCTTTATGCAATTGGGACGATCTTAGCGCCATCAAGTAAGATGGAGTTCTTTTCAACAGGTGATTGGGACCTAGATCCTGAGATAGGAAAGGACTATAGAAAAGAATACCGCAAGAGTCTTCAGTCTCTTTTCGAGAGATATAGCCAACGTGTACCATCAGATATGATACAGCCTAATAGCCAGTTATTAATAACTGAATCGGAGCTAGAGAGGGCCCTTGACGGTGATTCTTCACCACGATCAATTGCTCCACAGTACGACGAGCTCACCAAATATCTCCAGAGTGGTAAGTAAATAAGCCTATGTGATGAATCATATAACTAACCTCACCTGATTAGATACTATTAAAGGATCTGTTCGGATCTTCTGGAAAGATCATCAGAGAGAGTTCCCTGTTCTTGCAAGCATTGCCCGTGATATCATGTCAATTCCAGCAACTGGTGCCGGAGTTGAGCGTCTGTTTAACTCTGCTCGGGATGTATGCCACTACCGCCGGGGGTCGTTGAATCCAGAGACTATTCGTGATATTATGTTGTACATGTGTACAACAAAATTTGATATTGAGGAGGAGCAGCGGCTGATTCTCCAAGAGTATCTCTTAGACCATGAGATAGCAGCTTCGGCAGAAGCACTTGATGTCCAGACACATACCTTCGAGGCTATCAGTGATGACGAGGAGGAGGATATTGAGTTGCGTCTTGATACACCGGCTGCTGTATCAATTATGCAAACAACCCCAAACGTACCGCCACTCTCAGCGGTTGCCGCTGGAAAGCGGCCTGCGGTCACTTCTGGTGATGAGGAAGATTCTGATGCCGATGGATTTGTGAACCCGGAGGAGAACCTATTATTATCCTTCCCTAATACGCAGCATCGTGTATCAGGTAGGATACGGAAGAAGTCGAGACTACTGGATGGGTATATAGTTTGACTCTTGGCTTGTTAGAACTATGACTAGACACTATGCTATAGATGTAATGTAAACCATTCAAAAATTAAACCCCTATTCGAGGATGAACCTATGGATGCAATAAGGAGTGTATCCTCCTGTAAGGCTATACAATGATGAAGTTTTTAGTTTACAATTACAATGAAATACAGCTTGTTTCTACATAATTTATGCAATTGACGCCCAGTCACGTCTTTTACCTGTTTGTTATGTTTGACGACCCTCAGGGTCCCCGCGGGTAACCCTCATGAGGGTCGGCCTGGGTACGACCCTCCCCGCGGGTCCAGGTCTCGGACCCTGACCCTCCGCATGGGGAGGTGAGGGTCAGGGTCGTGGAGGGTACCCGCGGGTTCTAGCCAGGTCTAACTATCTAGTACCTCACTCACTATTCAAGAAACTCTTTAGTGAGATGTGGGCTGTGCGAATCAGTCCCAAGCTGCACCATAGCTTGTATCTGCTTGATATTTTGTAGGTGTGATGTATTTTGTCTGATATACGAGGTCGATACCAATACTGAAAGAACATGAAACATTCTGTGTTTGGGCTAGTAATGTAGCTGCAAGGGTCACCTGAAGCCTAGTTTTGAGCTGTAAGAAGAAAACCAAACTGTTCATGTTTGCCGATAGAAGACCTTCTATTTGAAAGGGAACCATACATTGATGAAGAATCAAATTACTACAGTGCAATATATATGATATGTTCTATTCGGGATTGTTGCGGAGAGCCCCCCCCCTTGCGTCGGGTCCACGATATTCCGTGCTTATAATCGCACACAGATATTGCTCGTATATCCTCTCCTTCGAAAGGAACATTGCCGTTTCGAAGGAGAGTTGGGCTTTCTTCGCAGGGGGAGCTATTTGAGAAATATCACAAGACAACGATCTTAGAATTTCGCCGTGTTTCGCAAACATGGCAAATCACATTTCTGTGAAACTTCTAAATGAGTCGTGCCATCGACAAGTGTAAATATTTCTATTACGACAAAAGACGTATGGCTCCGTGCATGAAACAAGGTTTCTCAATGTGATAGTAAGGAAGGTCGATGTTTTCCAAAGCCGACATGACATTTCCGTGGAATGCATTCGCTGTCCGTTTTCGATGTCAAGCTTCCAGCCCGGTGCATGGTCTAAGGAGTGAAAGTGTTTATTCTAGCACAAGATACTGGACAGTAATTGCAGTGGCTGCATTATACTTGCCTGGCTTGATTGAGCTCTTTAGCGGGCACTGTCCTCAAACGAAACTCGTTTTCTTTTCCGCTGCGCATCCAAAGATGGTTTTAAGACACGCAACTGCCTTTTTCATGTCTTCTATCTCCGTTCTGAGGCTTTCGATCTCAGAAGCAAGTTTCCTCTTGAGCAGGCGCTTCGTTGCCTTGCTTTCTAATTCTCTATATATTTCTGTCAGTGTTGCTCTGGACTTCAATTAGACATCTCCGGTACACTCACTTCAATCGATCGTCAGTGCTAGCATAATTTGTTAGTAAAGAACGCAAATTACAGGGCATAGAGGTAGGAATATCAACTAACAGTTCGATGACAGGACTTGCATTTCTATGCCGCCCAAACGATAAGTTGTCAACCGCCTTTCTCTTTTTCCATGACTTAGATTAAGTATCGCGTCCGCCGCTGTTTCCAGATTCACCACCCCTGTCAGCTCGTTTACCATCTCTTTTCGTCTTTTTCACGGTGGACGATTTATGTCGGCGTGTGATCGCATCTTCCTGACAAGTACTTTCCTCTGTCGAACTTTCGTCTTCCAGCGCCTTGGTCAATCGAGCCCGATATTCGCTGAATCGGGGAGCAGATGATTCAGAGACACGTTCTGTCATCTTCAAGGCTGTAACGACGAAAAAAAGCTTGAAAATAAGACTGGGAGGCTTTTGGAAGAATGAAGTGTTTGCTTTTCTCCTGGAAAAGTACCGAGTTGTTATACACTGAGTTATTTAAGTTAGTTTCGGACTTTTTTCAAGCGAGCCATGGAAGTATCATATTACTCATATTTTTCGCCGGAAATGTTCACCGCAGAAAAGATGGATGGGGTGGAGCGTTCAGGCAGTCATCTATAGTAGAGCCAAGGCATTACTCAACGTTTATCGCCAGACAAATGGTGGGGTTGTAAGCATCGCCAAAGTTTAGAGCATACATGCACAAAGCTACTGTACATTGGAAAAGTCTACAAACACAAGTTTGAGGGTATGGTCACCCGATGTACCAGAGGCAGGTCATTCTTTCGAACTTGTCAGCCAAGTTGGGGTTGTTTCACCTTTATCAACAACGTTGAGGCATTTTATTTGTCAGGCCTAGACCCAGGAGAGCCAAGGGTCCAGGTGGGGCGTGCCACTCCACCCGCTCTCCACCCCTAACGCTTGAAATTTCTTATTTCAACGTTGATAGACGGCCTCAACGGCCAGCGAAAATACGACCGCCCGGCGCGAATTTCGAGTGGAAATCTCTGGGTCCGGCAAAATGTACGCAAGTGGTCGCTACCGAAGGACGTATCCGAAATGACATAAAAGACGCTCTTTTCCCGTCGAAAAGAAAAGCAGGACTTTCCTCCTCACACTCCCGGGCAGTCGGGTTTTCTTCGCAGGATAAGATCTGCGATATCAAGTGTTCTTCGCAGGATAAGCTCTGCGTTACCAAGTGTGCTTCGCAGGATAAGCTCTGCGATATCAAGTGTTCTTCGCAGGATAAGCTCTGCGTTACCAAGTGTTCTTCGCAGGATAAGCTCTGCGTTACCAAGTGTGCTTCGCAGGATAAGCTCTGCGTTACCAAGTGTTCTTCGCAGGATAAGCTCTGCGTTACCAAGTGTTCTTCGCAGGATAAGCTCTGCGTTACCAAGTGTGCTTCGCAGGATAAGCTCTGCGATATCAAGTGTGCCTCGCGGGATGGGCTCCGCGTCAACAAGTGTGCCTCGCAGGGGGACGCTGCGTTACCAAGGGAGACCCGCAGGAGAGTGCTGCGTCAACAAGTTCTCCCTCACAGTGATGAGCCCTGTGTTGTATAAATGTGCTCCGTGGGGACCTCCGCGACATCAAGAGCCTCCGCAGGGGGACGCTGCGATACCAAGTTCTCCGCAGGAGACCGCTGCGACACCAAGTTCTCCGCAGGAGAGTGCTGCGTCAACAAGTTCTCCCTCACAGACGATGAGCCCTGTGATTGTAAAAACGTGCTCCCTCGCAGCCAATGAGCCCTGTCGTTGTAAAAATGTGCTCCCTCACAGCCCATGAGCCCTGTGACTGTAAAAACGTGCTCCCTCGCAGCAATGAGCCCTGCGTTGTAAACATGTGCTCCGTAGGGACGCCTGCGTTGCCAAGAACCTCCGCAGGAGACCGCTGCGACACCAAGTTCTCCCTCACAGCCCTGAGCCCTGTGATTGTATAATCTTGAGCTTCCATGCAGCCTTGAGCCCTGCGTTATCAAATTTGTGCTTGTTAGGCGACCCGTGGCGCCGCGGTCCTCGTCCTGATCCTCTGGCAATTGCAGGCACCTCTCCGTGGTGTCAGAGACTAGTATTCGCGGAATTACTCGAAGAAGCCAAGACCTGCTCCAAAGAATCGATAGAATCAAGAATCCAACAAAATATGGTGTAAAATGACTTCAGTATTGTAGGTAGATGCCGCCGTACATGACTGGTTCGAAAAATGCACTTTGTAGCGCTCAATCATGCCCTGAGCTTCAAGAATGGACATTCTCCACCACTTAGTGTGAATTGGAGCGTCGAGTCATGGCTGATAGCGGGGTGGCCAGTTGGGGTGGCGGCTGAAATTCAAGTGGTCTCTATTGGTTTGAGTATTTGTCCCTGCTGGCTGGAGTGGCAGCAGAATTCGTCCGAATGAAGGGAGATACGGATTCTCGACGGTGGGTGGGTGGTGTGTCGTTGTATCGATGGTGTTGACGGTTTTGACGGTCTTAATGGTGAGGGTATACTGATGGTGAAGGCTGGAGGTGAGTAAAGGTTGAGAATTGGTGATGATGGTGATGGGGACATGACCAGTGAATCGTGAATCAACATGTTCAGTGCGGGTGACTCCCGGGCGGTGAAGTGGCGGCCAACGGTTAACATCCAACCCCGTCATAGTGGGGATCTTTATTCTCTCACAAATGCAAAAGTTGAAAAACAGTGCGAGATGATACTTTCTAGAAATTAGATTCGATATGGTAATACATATTCCGCAGTCTTCTGTATGACAATCTCCCGGCTCAAGCTTCACCGTCTGCTCTTTGTCGGTATTCTGTATCTGAGGTGGTGTTACCCTATGCTGAATTGGAACCTGCAAGATATATGTTACCAGACTAGTGCTATCATATACATAACCAGAAGCAAAATCAGCAAAGGTCCATTAGGGTACTGTATGTACCAGGGATAGAAGCCTCATTCTTCCAAACATATATCAGATATCATTTTGTCTCGACCTGATCAAATGAAAGGCACTTCTGGAGCTCGAAACGCTGATCTTGCCGGATGTGTGGCGAAGAACGGGAGGTATGATTATTTGGAACGTAGTCGCTATGATGAACCAAAATCAGTGCCGGTGCCCTTCTTCCTGCGTGGTCTAGTGGAATTTCACATTTGCTTTCCGAACGACGCGGGTTCGATTTACGCTTGTGTTTTCCGAATCATTTCCCGAGTATTCGCTCTGCGGATTCATTTTTACCTTTTGCTCATTTCATGGCGAAGCCACTTTTACGGAGTCGACTGGCCTTCCCGCCAAAGTCAGCAACCGGCGTTATGGAAATTGATGGTCATCGAGGACCTGCCGCAACAGACACATGCTACGGGGGGGGCAAAGGCCGAGTGCACTTGCGCGTCGCGTCGTGCCACACCCACACTGAGAGTAACATCAGTGGCTACGTCCGATGTCAGTGAGCACGTCTCCTTCACCATATATCACAAACCAAACCGACCTGCATCTTTCAAATAACCATTGGACCATTGTGGCCGCCTCGGCAATCTGCTGGCGAGTCCGTGCGAATTGGTGAAAGCGAGGAGGCATTCGGTCGGCTTGCCGCTGCATTGAACATAGCATCAGGGGAAAATCGCCAACGTCATTATAACGGCTCGACGATAGGGCTAGCTGACATCCGAATTATTCTAGTGATGAGAATGTACTTACCAGGATCAATCATGAATAAGTCATGGTAGCAGCTTTACTTGATCGTCTGCATCAGATTACAGGCAAGGCAATTCTTCGTTGGATATATTCAATCTACCACCAATTATCAGCAGCTGGTGCGATATGGTCGCTCGCAACTTACCTTGTTCGCGGCCTAGATGAGGTCCCCTTTAATCAGCTATAATGCACTTTCTTTCTCGATCGAACTCGTCAGAGCGGCTGAATTAGGGCTGTCTTTCACTGCCTCGCTATATCAACATGATTTCTGGTGACCGAGGGTGGTATGAGCTTGCCGTCATGCAGTCTGGCATCAGTATTGACAAGCCAGAGACGAGGTATAAGGCGCCAGCTCGATCCCACGTGCACAATGGCCGGGGATCACCTTTTCCTACGGGAAATGGATGTAGCCGTACCTGCCAATACACGATTCTGGGCAAATATCCAACCATGTCAGGGAAAAGTACCACCAGAAAAGAGATTCATGGTAACTTTGTTGCGACAAACTTTGCCCCGACCTGAAAATGACTGCTCTCAAGGCAATGGAAATGTGGTAGGTCTAAGCCACAGCCTGTCTTAGCGCCTGCGCAGCTGAAACCAGGGGTTGAAATAAATGACCTCGAGACTATTGCCAATAGCTCACTTCAGTTTGCTGATTGATGCTCATCGGGGAAACAATTTTTTTTTTTCTGCGGCCGTCAGGTCTCGGCTTCTCCTCGTTGTCGCAGATGCTCTGATGAATCGTTCGGTTAACAGTGAGGCTGGTTCATGGCTGCCGACAAGTCTTCGGATCGGACGTGGGGCAGGAGGTTCATAGCCGTCAGAATATTACGAGTTACTAATGCATTGACTGTCAACCTTTGTTCGGACAGGGTAATGCTGAAGAGACGAAATGGAAACACTTTGGAATGTTACCGTATGGCTAACCGGAGGGCATCAGGCCTTCCTGAATTGGGCTTGCTTACTGCGCCAGGCGAAGTGGCCGTGTCAGCCACGTCTTCAGGCACAACAAAGATGCAAGCGCAGTGAGATTCAGTGGCTTGGCCCATCTGGTTGTTGCAGCTGGTTTAGTTTCGAGGACGAGGGGGGAACATAGCTCTGTCAGGTCGAGTGTAAATTGAAGCTCGCCCTATGACGAAAAAGAATCATAAGCGGTATTTTCCAAAGAACGGAGAGCTACGAACGGAAAGAGCGTTCGTTTTGAGATTGAAGATGCAATACCGGGTGTTGGGAATGGGTAGGGGCAAAGCACTATCGGGACTTACAAGACATTGAGCGACTCGCGATAGAAAGTTCGCCATCCTACAGAGAGGGTCATCAGCACATGATATTTGCCTTTGAAATTGCTGCAGTCTTTAAACTTACATTGTCACTTATTTCTATCCGCTACAGGGGACTGTATGGAGGATGGCATCTATTTATCATCAATCATCAGTAGGCAGGCAGTTCATTAAGGCAACTTGTAACTCATTGTGCTCGCAGCTTGGACCATTCAGGACCCCGAAAGGTTCTTCAATGGGTGCTTAGCGGAATAGCGGAGGCGGGGCTAATATGGAGCATCTTCCGCGTTAGCATAATTTCAAATGACTGGGCAGCTACACTCACTATTCGAAGACTTAATTATTGAGAAAGATTAGGCTATTGCGATGTAAGAGGTCAACTCATTTCATTGCATGGTTTGGAGGTCAATCGATACCAGAGAGTAGCCGCGGAGA